CGATTAGAAAACGTGAATGCCCCTGGACTGAACATATTCTCACCTCCTAAGACCGATGATGGCTTTGTAGAGCTCTTGGGGTTAGAGGTCGTGTGTTGTGACCCACGCAGAGGCCCATACATTGGTCTGGAGCTGGACTCCATGGGTAAAAACCAAATACTCAGCAAGTGAGCCGAGGGGCTATTAACAAATACTGATGATGATGACGAGGAGGAATAGACTGTTTAATAAAAGCAATGATACTCCAGAGGCATTTCCTTGGGAGACAGTATGGTTCCTGAAGGTCACCTCGAGGGTGTAGGTGTAAATGAGCCCCCCCCCCCCAGTCCGCCGCCTGCTCCCTCCGGGAGGCTGGCTTCCCCCGGGGCTCGGCGGTCAACACGAAGCTGATTCAATGGTGCCAAACCAGAGCGATGAAACGTGGGGATGCGCTGCCCGGCCTTCAGATCGGACAGTGACACCAGGAACTCCCTCGCGGGATGGTCGAGACGACGGAATGCGCTAATGCGGTTTCAACGCTCACAACACCCTCGGTTCAGAGCGAGTAGCACCCGAGTGCTGGGCTGGGCAAAGAGTTCGCGTAGTTTTTTCCGTACGATGGCTCCAGCCGTGCTTAGTTGTCTTGAACTTCATCGAAACAATGTTGTTAGACTGTATTGCGACAGCAGTCCTGTCAGCGTGCATTTTAAAAAATGATCAAAGTTGGTGGATTTTTGTGCAGCCATGTTAATATTGAAAGAAAATATGCAACGTAATAGGCAAATAAGGCATATTATGCTTTATTATGTCAAGAATGGTGAAAATGCAACTGAAATGCAACAACAAAAAAGATTTGTGCAGTGTGTGGAGAAGGTGCTGTGACTGAGTGAACATGTCAAAAGTGGTTTGTGAAGTTTCTTGGCACTATGGACATTTTGGCCAAATAGTTCTTTGCTGTGGGGCTGCCGTATGCACTGGATGATGTTTAGCAGCACCCCCGGCCTCTCCCCACTAGAAGCCAATGGCGGGAGACAGCCGACGTACTCCACATAGCCAGATCAATACAGTCACTGGTGAAAATGAAAAATGTGCCTTTTAATTGATGGAAAAAACCACGCAGACTTTTTGGCCAGCCCAATCTTAGATGCTATTATTAAGCTGACACATTGGAAGCGTCCCCTCCGCCCCCTGCTGCCTGCGGCGTCTCGCAAGATGGACCGACTAGGAGACTGCTGGGAACACTGGGTAGTGACTGCAGCTGATAAACTCACACCACGGCACAGGCAATAATAGTGCAAGGAAGCTGAGCGAAGAGGGCTCGGAGGGAAGCAAGTGGGAGGGGCCGCCTGGGTGCCCAGGGTCGGGGCAGCTGTGGGGAGGCACCCCTAGGAGATGAGCATCCAATCAGGTGGCCACGTCTTAGCGCTTCGAAACGAAAACCACGTGAAACAGCAACCCTTTTGATTTAAGAAGGGCACTGCCATCAGGCAGCATGGGGAAACTTGAAGCTCTTGAAATCTGCTGGCGTGGATGCATTTTATTTACACTCTGATTGATTCTAAGTTTTGTTTCTGCAGGGTTCCATGTACAGATGGGACAGCGTCATTTCGTTGGATGACATCCGTGGGTAGGGCAACTACCAACCAAACAATGCCCCCAAAACCTAAGACGACAACTAGATTAATCTAAATAATGTTACTCTGCTACAAAATCTGCTATCGCGCATGAAGTCCAATGCCTTTAGAGTCTCACTTTTATACACTTTTAACTTCATAACTATAATCTTACAAGAACATTTCTTATTGTTTTACCTAACCTCACTTCAAAACTTGTTTGCTCTCTCTCCTACATGCACAGCGGGGTCTGCACTCTTCAGGTAACAAGGAGAAGTTGCCTTGAGTGTGTTCTGAGAATAATCCCAAGTGAGTAAAAGTTAGTGCTTTGTTCTTTGTCAGCAAAGAAGCCCGTTATCCAGGACTTAGTTTTGATAAGGGTAGCAAAGTGTTAGCTCCCTGAATGTACTTTGGCTGAAGTGATGAGATTGTAATTTTGCCTGTCTGCAGTGGTCCATGGACAGTTTCTTAAATTCCTCAATGCCAGTGTCCACCGAGTGCTTAGAGGCTAAACTAAAGAAGAGTGCTTTGGCCAGGAGGAGGGATGGTGGGATGCAAAATATTATTTTACTATTGCATCTCCTTCCATAGCAGTCCCTGGGGGAGCTTGGTACATATTCAGGTAATAAATTAAATCCAAGAAAAAGCGCCCACGAATATCTAAGGAACTGAGGGAAAAAATACTTGCGACAACTTTGCAATTCGATAAATACCATTAGCACCTACTGTGTGTCGGGAGAGATGGGAGAAGGAGCTCAGGCTGTCAGCAGTTCAGGACTGGAGAGTAAAACGCAGGATTAGACCCGCTGCCCTCACGCGAACATCGAAGCCTTCAGCACGCACACACAGAAGACACTTTGTGCAAGAAATGCGGGAGTGGAGTCCAGCAGGAAAAAAACCTCCCTAAGGGCATGCTTCTTAGGCATGAGCCTTGACAAATAACCAGGGGGCTTACAGAAAAAGAAGAAAGCAATTGGAGAAACTGTTGCAGCAAAGAAAAAAAAAAGGCGAAAGAACATAGGACTTCCTGGTGGCGTGTGGTCTCGTGTACCCAGAACCCGGTAAGCGAGGGGCCTGGGAGGCGGCGCGGCAGAAGGAAGTGACAAGAACCAAGACAGGGGAAGTGGTTGAGCAAGTCTGTGAAGGCACACAATTCTTCAGTCAAATGCTGCATTGATTAAAGGAAAAATACTTCATCCTACTATTAGATGAAGCCTGCAGTGGTGTCTGTTATTATAAAGACAAAAGTATTTCTGGGTTTATTGCCATAGTTTTCTTCTTCTTCTTTTCTCTGTCCCTTTCTCCCGTCTCATTCTTTCTCCTTCTGTCTCTTTCTGTCTCTATGTCTCTCTCTCTCTCTCTCTCTCTCCCTTCGCCTCTGGTTTCCCTGCCTGCCTCTTACAGCTCTGAGTGCCCAGATCTCGTCAGGCAGCGTCAGAAATAAAAGCCTTCAACTACCTCCATCTGGGGAGAAAGTGCGCCGGTGCGGAGAGAGGACCTGGACCAGATGCACAGGCTTGCAGAGGCAGCGTGGGCCCTGGCCACCTGCTTCCCCCGCCCCCTCCGACAGGGGCCGGTTTCTCCCATGTCTGTAAAGAGGACCCAGTGGGGTCGTGCATGGAGAGTGGCTGCGCATAGTAATTACAGATGTTCAGTGTTGTTACTGCTCGCCCCATTCTCTCTGACTCAAACAGATCCACTTGAAGGGCCTCTAAGCGTTAGCCTCCCCTTCCCCAAAAGGTTTAGAAAGAGAATTATAAGTGATGTGAAAACATGAAAATTGTTTCCCAAGTTACCACCTGTTTCAAGGCACCATTTACGAATGAGACACAATGTGAAAGGTGACAAAGCGAAAAAAAAAAAAAAAAGCACCCCGGAGGTGGCCCACGATATGTCCCCACAGGCCCCACCCCACGCCGCGCCACCATGCTTGTGTGCCGGGCAAGGCCAGGAGGTTCTTCTCTGACGCTGTGGCGGGGAGCGGGAATGGAGAGGAACAGACGCTTTAAACACACCAGGTGGCTGCGTTAACAAGCCAAGTAGGATTTCAATCGGGAGACTGTTTACTCTTTTAACTTTTTCAGGCTGCCCTTGAGTCCCTCTCAGGGCAAGGAGAATGCCGACACACCCCTGTACCCTCCTTTACTGGATTCTCAGAAACATTTCTGCCCGCAACCACACCCAGCATATCTTTAAATGTGTTCCTTCAGAGGGCTCAAGTCTGCCTCTCCCAATTCCGCGCTGTTTTTCAAGTGAGACGTGGGGAGCGATACTGATGGCCGCCTTTCGCAACGTCCAGAAATTCACATTTATATACGCACATGGTTACTCTCATTCAAAACGGCCCGTGCAGGCATTCCTTCCGCGATTTGACTGACCAGAAACCAGTTAGGAGAAGCTTATATGAAGTTAAAGTCAAAACGTGTGCCGATAAAACACCTCTGTTTAATGATTTTTTAAGAAGCTGTCCTGAGGGAATGGTTTTAGAAAATAAGTTGCTACGCTTGATTTAAAAAAAACTGGGTTTTGTGAAGTGGGCTGATGTAGGAATCCACTTCCAGTCTCAGTGGCCTTGATGCTTCCCACGTGTCGTGATCATGATTAAATACAGGCTGATGCTACAAGATCCGGAAAGTCTGTGCTTCAACCGAGTTCCCGGAATAAATATCCCCTATCGACTTCATAAGAATTTCTATGGTAGACAGAAAACTCCCATCCAAAATTTCACGCTCATTTGTGTGGTCATAAGCATAACAAATAGCTCAGAAAAATCTACGAAAAAGGACAATTAAGGGACACAAATGGCTTTTATTTTGAGGGTGTAAATGGGAAGAGGTGCCCTCTGATTCCATGTGGCTGTTGAGCACACCCATTAAAAACTGCTGGCACCAGAATCACTCAAATAACCAGTAACACACACACGTGTGACTCGAGATGTTAATGTAGCCACTAAAGGATTGTTAAGGAGATTTTTTTTTAGAACTATAGAACCACCAGAGCTAAAATTAAACCACCCCCCATTAGGCACAACCTAAATGATCAATATGTACTTTCCTGAAAACGGTTTAAAGTAGATAAAAATCACAGTCAACAGCCTCCCTGAAATGAAGCCATACACATAAATCACAACACGGTTTAGTTTAAAAAAACAAATCACAGTTTTGGGGGGTGATCGCAGTGGCCAACTGGAGAAGCCACCCCGAGAGTGGAGGGGTCCCACTCTGGAGCCACAGCCACCGGAGGCGGCCACAGCAGCACTGCCGAGCAATTTAACGGCGGCAGGGCCCCTCAAGGACACAGGTGACAGGTGCCCAGAACTGTAGCCCTCTCAAGACGAAAACCTACAGCCCACAGACACAGGGCCACCCAGCAAACACGGCACCCGACAAAAAGACACAGAAAATTTACCTCGCAGGAAAACCGTCGTCAGTGGCGCTGGCCTGTCACCAGAAACTCCTTTCCTTCTGATTTGCAGGACTTTGTCAACCCAAGTGTGTGGTCACAAGGCAGGAAGTGACTGAAGTGAAGTGACAAATAGTCAGCCAGGAAAGAAATAGATTTTGTCTTTATAAGGACATTTTACTTAAAGTTTTTTTCTTGTCTCCTCCCCAACAGAAATCACCTGACCGAACAGGTCGCACTGAAATGTAGAAGGCTCTTACCACTTCCTCTTCATAAGCATTTTTCTCTTCCTTCCCCCTTTTTGTTTTTTCTCCTCCTCCTCTAGCAGCCGTGCGTCCCAGGGCTATTTCAACCTGCCCGCTCTCAGATAACACGCGGAGGCCGGCCGGCCAGCAGCTACCTGGCCTTTCCCTGACTTCAGCTGCGAACGCGCACCCGGGCTTCTGGCTGCTTACAGCGGAGATCCACAAATTATTCACTTCCAGCGAAGGAGCCCAGGGAAAAAGGGGCAGTGCACCCGAAACAAACTAAAGGGGGTGTCCTCGCGCCAGCCCGCCCCAGCCTAAACCAAACCTCTTGTAAGAGTCTCCAAACAATGACCTTACTGGTGCAAACAGAACACAGTGACCTCTTGAAGGAGGAGGGCTCGAAACTCAAGGTCGCTATATTATTTACTCATTCTTTTATTTATAGAACCACCATCGGCGGAGGATCTCTTTAACCCAACTACCGATGTCAATTATTTACACGTTTCCTATGGAGAGCAGCAGGGCATGGCTCGGGCAGCCGCTGCGTGAACCGGGCAGCTGCAGTCCTTCACACGGACCAGGTTTATGTTTCAAAGGTGCGTTCCATAAGATGAGCCATAGAATAAAAAAGCTCTGTCTTAGGCCCAAACCCCTGATGCTTATCTTGAGGTCAGAAGTCCATCTTCAAATGTGAGGGTTCAGGGGCTCAGAGCCCAACCGTGGTGGCGGAGGATGTGGGGGCCCTGAGTCCTGTGGACCGGACGTGAGGCGTGGCCTCCATGTGGCCCGGAGACCGTGTGGCCCCCGCAGCCAGTCTGCTGGGGAGGGACCAGGACTCTGTGCGGCAGCCCCAGTGGGGAGGGGAGAGGCTTGTGACCTTTCCACTGGCTTCTGTCGCAACTGGGGGTCTGCAGCCCAGCCACATACACTCTGGACGGGGGACTGTTTTTGTACTTCTCCTGCTTCTTCCATTTCTCCTCCAGACCGGTCCTGCTTCTGACCTCAAACGTTAAGCCAAGCTGTTCTGGGTGTCATCGACCGTTAGCCGGCGGTGGGCAGCTCCTCAGTCAGAAGCCCACAGGGCCCCTCCCAGGCCCCCACCCCGGGGACGGGTGGAGGACTAGGAAGAGATGGCAGAGATTCAGCCCTTCCAGAAGTGGTTCGCCGCACAGAGAATGGTCAGCCCTCTGTGAGTCCCCAGGGAAGCCGTGCTTGAACCCTGTCTTCTCTGTGGCTGTACTCCTCCCCAGGAAGAGGTTGCAGAGGGGTTTCTGAAAGCACCTAAGTTCTTTGGGGACACCAGAGGAACACCCACGCACTGCTGTGATGGGACCGAATACATGACTTAGTCTCGGATGGTGTCCACATGGGTGGAGGCGGCCATCACTCAGGGCTCCACGGACAATGACTCGGTGGTCTTTGGATTAAAAAAAAATTTGTGCACTGACTGTGGATCTCCTTAAAAAAATAAATAACAAACGTGGACCCAAGGCCTGTACAGGGGGGAGCCACTGGTCCTCGCCGCTGGGTCAGACTGCACGTGGGTGCCTACCTGCAGGGCCCGGTGACTCAGAGAGGGCGCAGTCACTGCCCTCAAGGAGCACGGGGTCCGGCAGAGGAGGGAGGGGAAACGGGCAGCGGGACAAAGTGCAGGTCCGGCTGCCGGGGCTGACTTCTGAGGGCGGCGAAACAGTCATGAGTCGTGGCTGGTTCGGGTCAAAGGAGACCGAGGGTTTTAGATGACGTCTAGACGGTAGGAGAGGAAAGCCGCCACCCCGAGGTGCTACCCACACCCACCGGGCGGAGGGACTCTTTCTGCCGGAGCGCCAGCTCAGCTCGGGCTCCACACCGCCGCCCCCGTGGCCGTGGCCGCGGCCGCGGCCACCTCGCCCACATCCTGCACCGCGCCCCCCAGCTTCATCATCTCCGCTGCAGCCGCTGCCTCTGGCGGCACAGGTCTGCCCGGAGGCTGACGACCGTGCGGGCCTCGGCACCAGGCTTCTACAGGGGGCGGCGGCTCACTACCATCAGGGTTTAGAATCACTGGGGCATCGCGATGGTGGACTGAGGACCGATGTGTGGTTTTGGCATTATTTCTGTCTTCTCTGCAGACCGTGCTCTCCTGAGGACGGGCCCCCACAGCGCCCCTCCCCCAGCTCCCGGCGCCGCCCTCCACTGCGCCCTCTGCCACCGCAGCACCAGCTGCTGCTGGGCTTCCCTCCCCGCCGCCGTCTCCCCCAGTCACCCTCCCGCTGCTGCTTAGACACCCAGCGCCCCGGCCCCAGCCCTGCATCCGCTGCTACTGCCCTCCCACAAACACAGACTCGCGGGCCATGCATTCCAGCGGCGTGCCTCCAAAGTACTCCTCAGAGGCACTTGTGTTTGATTCCATGAGTTACCGAGAACAGGGGTTCTCAGCCCCGGGTCCGTGGGTCCCTAGAATGTATGTATGTATGATTTTGTGTGTTATGAGCTTTCTTCCTGGGTCTATCGTATTTATTCATCAACGTATTAAAGCGACCCTGGAGTTCTTGCTTCAGTCTCCTGCTCCCTCTCCTGCGTCCGTCCCTGGCCCACGATTCCTGCCCCTTAGTTATCAGGATGATCAAGGCAATTCCTGCCCCTTAGTTATCAGGATGATGAAGACAATTCCTGCCCCTTAGTTATCAGGATGATCAAGGCGTCTGGCCTGAGCTTCCTTATCTAGCCGCCTCTGCTCTCACAAGATCTGTCATTTCCTCCTCTCCTTCAGTCTTGAAGGAGGCGGTCTTCCCTCTCCCCCAGGTCCACGGCTCCCCCTTAGAGTCTTACCCTTATGTCTTCCGCTCTCTCGGATGCCTTGCTCCCTCCACGATCTCATATTTTTCTAGAACCTGTCATCTCTCATGCTCCCGCAACTTCCCCTTCATTTGCTCGTGGGATTTGTACAGAGGAAAAACACTTCCGCTTCATGCTACTGCTTACCCTCCGGCCCCCGAGGGGCCCGCAGGGACCGTGGCGGAGAGGAGCACAGCCCCTGCCTTTGTGGACGGTCTGCTGTGGTCAAGGTCACAGACAAGCGGTCCTCAGAGCCACGGCGGAGGTGCAGCGCCCGTGGGGACAGACACACACACCGCACCAGCGCAGACCTGGGCTCTGGGAGGCGCGCCCAGGAGGGCGCCCCGTGGGGGGTTGCGAGGAAAGAGGCCGAGCCCACTGCGGGGCTGCAGCCCAGCTCCACGGCTGCGCCGGTCGTGGGACCTTGGGCGAAGCGCCGAAGTCCCCGGCCTCAGTCTCCTCGCCTGGAAAACGGAGTGAAGTGCAGCGTCTACTTCATGCCGTTGCTGTGACGGGGAAGTGAAGGGGTGCAGGTGGGGAACCCCAAAGACGGCCCGACACAGAGTAGGTGCCGTGCGCACGTGCATCTGCATTTCAGTGTTTACCCCAGGCGCGGGGCCAGGCCCTTCACTCACCTTCGTGCACCGATTCCTCACAACGACGCTATGATTCAGGGGTTTTTTCCCCTTTGATTTTAGAACAACAGTGTGATTCTCATACCATAAAATTCACTGTTCAAAACTCAGTGGGGTTTGGTACATCGACAGAATCGGGCAAGGATGACACTACATGATTATAGAGTATGTTCACCTTCCCCAGGAGGAACCTTCTACCCACTCACAGCTACTCCCCACTCACAGCTACTCCCCCACTCGCAGCTACTCCCCACTCACAGCTACTCCCCCCACTGCCGGCTACTAATCTGTTCGGTCTCTCTGTTCGGTCTCCCCGCAGATGCGCCTGCGCCGAACATCTCCTACAACACGTGGTCTCCCGTGACTAGCTTCTTTTCCTTAAGCAGACTGTTCTCAAGGCTCATCCACGTTGTCGCAGGTGCCAGTGCTTTTTCCTACAGAGGAAGGTATTCCATCGTAGGCGCAATGTGGACCACAGTCCATCCATCCACTCATGCGTCGCCAGTCATGTGTTTCTCCTCTTTGGGTTGTAAATAATGTTGCCGTTCATGTTTGTGTACACGCTCCTGCGTGGGTGTGTGTTTTCTGTAGTTTTCGGATCCCCGTTATGCATGCACATGGCTTTAGAAGGCATGCACCGCCTCGAGGCTCAGGTGAGGCGCACCTGGACACGCCCCCTCTACCTCCGGGTCCCGGTCCCCAGAAAGGGCTGTCGTCAAGCTCTCGCTGTTTCTCTGGCTGCTCCACATTTTCAGATGCTATGCTTGTGCTTCGTTGGTTGTTCAGGATCAGGTTTCTTTTCTGCTTTTTTTTTTTGTTTTTTTTTTTGTTGTTTTTACTTCACACTCTGCCCACATGCACGCACCAACCCTCCCACCATCCTCTAAAGCAGGTTATTACGTCTTTCCTATTCAGTTTACATCCAGCTCTTACACCGCTGAGTTGTAACAGGCACAGCACTATGTTTATATTTTATTATTGCAGCTTTTCCCTTGGCTGGGTTTCTGTGTACCTACTGCTAATTCTGTATCCAACACTCCAACCAAGATACACTTTGTAAAAATTAAGAGCTGAATTCATTTCTCCCTTTCTTCTTCTCCTTTTGGAGGGGTCCCTCCTACAGTCCTTCATCCTCCCGCCAGGCCCCGCTGCCCAAAAGCCACCCAGAAACTTCCCTTCAGCATCACCCTGGGAACCCCCTTGTGCTCCCTCCACGCGGGCCCTCCTGCTCCTGGACCACACCACGTCAACTTCCTCGGTCCACTTCCCTGTGAGCAAGCACACCCTCCAGCAGGTTTCTGGGGGGAAGGCTTCTTGGGACATAACAGTTTTGAGACAGTTGAAAACTGGAAACCTATACAGTCTTGGAAGTCCACACTGGAGATCATTTCTCTCGAAATTCCTAAAGAATCGTTCGGGTGCGTTGTAGCTTCCAGGGTTGCTCTTGAGAGGTCTGGTGCCCTCCTGTTCTGTGGCCCTTTGCATGTCATTTTGACACATTTCTAGAAATAGTTAGAATTTTCTCTTTGTGCTTGGCCGTCTGAAATTTTGTTTGTCTTCGGGTAGGTCTGTTTTCCACCATTGGGCTAGGGATTCAGGGATCTCTTCATCCAGAAAATGAAATATTTCAGTTCTGGGAGTCAGACTCTCTCTCTCTCTCTCTCTCGCCCTGCCCCCCGCCCCTTCCCTCTGTTTTCTGTTTTCTCTTTCCTCGGGATTCAATTTATTTGTTGGGCCTTTGGCACTGATTCCATAATTTTCCTCCTGTTTTCTGCCTCTTGGCCTTCCTGTTCAGGATTTTCTACTTCTTCTTCAAAACTTCTACTGGACGTTCTGTTTCTACTATCATTTTAATAGCCAAAACCTCTTTTTCCCTGAGTCTTCCTTTAAAAAAAAATCTTTATTACATTTTTTTCATTACCACTTAATCTCCTTACACTCCCCTCCCCTCGGCAGTCAGTCCTCCTTTTCTTACGGCAAGGTGGGGGCAGCGTGAGGTGAGCAAGACCTCCCTACTCTTTACGTAAACTTTGCGCCGGTCGCCCTGTTTCTCAGCCCCACCTGGCATGGCACCCGTGCCTTCCGCGGGACATGCCACGGCCCAGGGTTCTGAGCGTGGCCGAGCGTCCGAACTGGTGTGGTCGGAACTGCTTCTTGTTGGCCTAAGCACTGTACCTGGCATTCTCGTTACAGGCTCGGGGGGCCACGCTGCTGTGCATCCTCAGGCACGTTCCATGCTCCATCGACTCTACAGCCTTCGACATTCTGCCGACATCACTGGTCTCTGGTGCCTCACGGGCTCCAGGTCTCCCCCGCCGGCCTGGGAGTCCCAGGAAGAGAGGGCTCTCTTTGTTGTGTTACTTCTAAGCACTGTCCCTGGCATTTCAATACTACTTGTTGAATATTCCCAACACCATTTGTTAAAGACACTGTCTTTACCCCATTGTATATTTGCCTCCTTTGTCACAGATTAATTGACCATACGGGTGTAAGTTTATTGCTGGCTCTCTCCATTGATTTCTGTGTCTGTTTTTAGATCAGTACCATGCTGTTTTGATTACTATAGCCTTGTAGCGTAGTTTGAGTATCAGGTAGCATGACAGAATGGAGGTTCCTCAAAAAATTAAAAATAGAACTACCATATGACCCAACAATCCCACTTCTGGGTGTTTATCCAGAGAAATCCAAAACACTAATTTAAAAAGATATATGTTGACTGAAACATTATTTACAATGGCTGAGATATGGAAGCAACCATGGATAGATGACTAGATAAAGCAGAAGTGGTATATATACAAAATGGAATATTACTTGGCTGTAAAAAGAATGAAACCTTACCATTCACAAACACATGGATGGACCTAGAGGTTATTATGCTAAGTGAAATAAGTCAGGCACGTGAAGACAAATGCATACGATTTCACTGATACGTAGAATCTAGCAAACAAAGTAAATGAACACACAAAACAGAAAAGACTCATGGATCCAGGGAACGCAGTGA